AAAAAAAAAAAAAAAAAACTTTAAGAAAAGCAATATGACAATATTGTTTTTCAACTTCAAAGAACTTTCCCCTTCCTATTACAGTTCATAGAGTTGTTTATCCAGGTTTTTAAATTAGCCAACCTGCCTGCCTTCTTCCTTCCTTCCTTCTTGACCAGACACTACATAGAATTTGAATAAAACAAAGTGTATCATGAAGGTGAAATACTTTGTCATAAGAAGAATTTTCAGTGTAGAAAGACTCCAAAATCTATACTGAGCCCAGACTATCAGTTTCCCCTACTCTTCTTCATTCATTCATATTCTCACTCTGGTTCCAGCTTTCACTTTAGGTTTGGAGAGCACCTCCTCTTTCCATGACTCCATTCCAAAGGCTTGTCGTGTGATTAATCCACTTTTCTTACTTGAAGCCTTCCTTTTACCTAAGTTCTAGAGTCTATCTCTCTTTCAAATCAAAGAAAAATAAGGCATATTTTCTCTCATCTTCTATAAGAATCTAAGTTCCAAAAGAAGGACTTTTAAAGGTCAAAATCTGACTTGGTTTTCAACTCTGATTCTTTTCATTTTTTCCTTTCTTGAGACAGGGTTTTTGTTCTGTTGCCTGGGCTAGGGCGTCATCATAGCTCACTACAACTTTAAATTCCTGGGCTCAAGCAATCCTCCTGCCTTAGCCTCCTAAGTAGCTGGGACTACACCCAGCTAATTTTTAAATTTTTTTCAAACAGATGACGTCTCACTCTTGCCCAGGCTCACCCTGATCTCCTGGCCTCAAGCCATCCTCTTCTAATCTTCATTTCATTGGTTCCTTTTGGTTATTCCCTTTTACTCATCATCCAAATCATCTGTTCTCTGCACATTAAAGGGCTCAGCATATCCTAGGACCATTGTCACCTCTAGCCTTCAAGTCATCCAGTCACGCTCTCCACTCAGAGATTCACATTTGTTCCTCTTACATTTCCTCCTCAACTCAGGAAGATCTTATATATAATCAATAATCTAGAAACCCTAACAGCTCAGGATTTATATATTTTCAAATCTTAACATTTTAAAGTTTAAAAAGTTAAACCAAAACAAACAAACAAACAAACAAACAAACCAGAAAGAACAGTATCTCAAAGCAAGCAGGGCTAATGAGATTTGTATGAAATACACCAGAAAAAGAGAACAAACAACACACACGTCTCCCATGGGGTGATGCCAATGATGAGTAAGAATGTTCTTTTAACCTTTTCATACACGAATCCTGATCACCTGGAAAACAATTTTCCC